GTGTGTGTGTGTCTCTGTGTGTGTGTGTGTGTGTGTGTGTGTGTAGCGGCCCAGCAGTATCGTGTCGGACAGCTCTGTTGAACCCGTCCCTTCATCCGCAGCCTCTTCCCCCTCCTCTTCCTCGCTGTGCTATGAGGTGATGGGACGCGCTGCCAGTTTCCTCAACAACAACTACCTGGTAAACACTGACAAAACTCACGCCGCGACGACTAACACAGCACTTTACACAGAATAATCAGCAGTGCACACATGCTCTGTACAGGACCTGACGGAGACATGCGAGTCTGTGTGTGTGTGTGTGTGTGTGTGTGTGTGTGTGTGTCTCTGTGTGTGTGTGTGTGTGTGTGTGTGTGTAGCGGCCCAGCAGTATCGTGTCGGACAGCTCTGTTGAACCCGTCCCTTCATCCGCAGCCTCTTCACCCTCCTCTTCCTCGCTGTGCTATGAGGTGATGGGACGCGCTGCCAGTTTCCTCAACAACAACTACCTGGTAAACACTGACAAAACTCACGCCGCGACGACTAACACAGCACTTTACACAGAATAATCAGCAGTGCACACATGCTCTGTACAGGACCTGACGGAGACATGCGAGTCCGGCGCGAGAGAGCGACAGATGAACCGAGGGAGTTTGGGCCCGTACAGCGTCATCAATCACAGGTGAACACAAACACATCATCATGAGTGTCATATTCATCATCCAGCTTCACACTGATCGCTTTCCTCTGCAGAGCTAAAGTCCCATCAGCCCCTGCAGACTCCGTCATCCCCAGCGACGACCCGCAGACGCAGGTACACCTGCACACAAGCACTTCAGTAGTTACTAACGCCTCACAGAAGGGTGTTTTTACTGTAATTATCAAACATTAACAATACAATTTGCCACTAAGAGAATGACCACCAAAAATCAGTATTAAATGATGACTAATGATAATTTGATATTTGACTGATAATTATTATTATTTTATTTTTATTTATTATATTACATTTTTATCTCAGTTTTATTTATGTAATTATTGCATGAAGTCACAGAGATAGAAAAAACTGAGATAAAAACATAATATAATAAATACAAATAAAATTATTATTATCATTTATTACATTAAACATATTTTTTTCACACAAAGATAGAAACAAGGGAGATTAATATAATATAATATAATAATTATTATTTATTCAAATTTTTTTCTATCTATCCTGAAATAGTTGCTTTAATTAATTTTAACATCATTGTCCAACAGGATATAATATAGTAAGTAAAATAAAATATAAAAACTAAATAAATATAATATTATAAATATAAATATACCCTGAAATAGTTGCTCTAATTATAATTTGATAATCATAATTGAAACCTGGGATGTTTTAATGGATTTTTTTCTCTGTAATTTAAGTAGGAAATCAGCCAGTTTTTAGGGAAGAAATAAGTTTAGAAGATGTCAGTCTGGATTTATGGATACAAAATTTGCCTGACAAGCAAAATATTTTAACATCATTGTCCAATAAGATAAAATCAGTATTACATAACAGAAACATAACTTTTGTTATATCCTGGGCCGATATTATGGAAAGACATTGAAAAATAAATCTGCGGCCATAAACGCACAGTTTTCTGTTCAAAGCGTCTTGTATAGGTTACATGAGCTCTGTGGATTAAGATTTAATATCAGTGAGAGAATAAAGAGATCTGGCGTCCTCTGCTGCTCACTGTGTGTCTGTGTGTGTGTGTGTGTGTGTGTGTGTGTGTGTGT